AGAGGGAGGGAGGGAGAGAGAGAGAAGAAAGGGGAGAAGAGGGAGGGGGGGGGGGGGGAGGCAGGGCAGAGAGAAAAGAGGGGGGGGAAGAGAGGGGAGGGAGAGGCTTTCAAACTACCTCCTTAATTCCTTAAAAACTGACTTCTGACCCCAGGCCAGCCACCACCGTCCTGAAGCTTGTCTCCCAGTGGTCACCACAGGTTTTTAACTGCTAAATTCTCAGTCTCTGCTTCCTGCAATACCAACCACCACCTCTTGTCTCCCCTGCCCTCCCTCCCTTTCTTTCTTTCTTTCCTTTTTTTTTTTTTTTTGGGTGAGGCAATTGGAGTTAAGTAACTTGCCCTGAGTCACACAGCTAGTGACTGTTATGTGTCTGAGGCCAAATTTGAACTCAGGCCCTCCTGACTCCAGGGCTGGTGCTCTATCCACTGCGCCACCTAGCTGCCCCCCCCCTTTCTGACCGCCCCTTCCTAGTCCCTTTCCCCACGCTGCCCCCTCGCTTTTAGCTCAGCTGTGCCCCCAGCTCTGTCCAGGCTTTCCTCTCTCCTCATGTACCAGTTCAGTCTCCTGTGGATCTCATCCACTCCCCTGGATTAAGTCTAGATGCAGGTAGTTCCAGCCCTGACCTCTCTCAAGCTTCAGCAACAGCCCCATTCACCAGCCGGGCACATCCTAGGGGCCCCATAGGTGTTTCACCTCTTCCTCAGAAGCCTATCTTGCTTCAAATTTCTGTATTTTGGTGGCGGCCCCCACTGTCCTCCCCGGCCCCCAGGTTCTACCTTGGAGGTCTTTCTTTTCCTCACCCCCAGTGTCCAGCCCGCTGCCATTTCCCGTCCATCCTCCCTGCACACTGTTCACATTTGTTCCCTCCCCTCGGCCCGATGGCCGCCACCCTAGTTCAAGGCCCTCCCACTTCTCCTTTGGTCTCCTTTCTCCAAAGCTTTCCCCAACCAGCTGCCATCTTCCTTAGGGTGTGGCTTCCTAGTGCCTCTGAGACAAATTCCAGTCTCCTTAGCTACATTTAAAGACGGCCCCCATCTCCTTCCATACTTGATTCTCTTTCTCTGTGCGTTCTATGTCCGGCTGCACTGGACTGCTGATGGTCCAACTGGACATTCCGTCTTTGCATCTGCTGCTGTCCCTGCAGCGGCCCCCTCCTCACCTTCATGTCTTCTTTCAAGGCTCTGCCCAGCTGCCTCCTTCTCTGGGAAGCCTTCCTTTCAACCCCCAATCCTTTCTCTCCCCCACTTCGGATCATCTGAAAACAGAGGTTCCTGTTGTACCCCCGTAGAGTGGAAGCTCCCTGAGGGCAGGCATGTTTCCTCTTTGGTTCTGTGTCCCTCCCATCCAGCCGTGTTTTGCAGATGGTGGGCACTGAATAAACGCTTATTGGATTGCATTGACTTGACTTGAAATAAACGTCAGCAGAATCGGCTGCTGGGCTCCATTGATGGCGTTTTTGTCTTCGGTCAGTTGTCCCGACAGTCTCAGGGGAGGGTCCTCGAACCCCCTCGTCTCTGCCCAGAGCTGCTGGGCTCCCCGTGGGGAACCCCCTCATTTGGCCAGCCCCGGTCTTCCTGCTGGCTTCGTCTTTTATTTTTAGATAGCCCCTGACCTCACACCTGTGTTTGCATGCCGGCTTCGTTTGTGAGTGAGCCCCTGTCCCCGGCCCTCCCAATTCCCCTAACACACGGCCATCACTAACTCAGCCAGGCTCTGGCCATCACAGCCGCAGAGCAGAGGTACAGACTTGGCTGGAACTTCCCGAGGAATGAATTCCACGGTATTTATTAAGCACATACGTTGTGCCTGGCATTGTGCGAGGTGCTGGGGCTACAAAGTCAAAAGCGAGACAGCCCCTGCCCCTGAGGACATTATGTTGTACTGGGCAGTAGAGGACGGTCTTAGACAAGTAAACGCAAGCTGATTGAGAGAGAGCATTGGGCCTCGACAGAGTAAGGAGACGCGGAGGGGTTATTGTAGGCCTGCCACTGGGAGAGGGGAAGACAAAGGTGGAATTCGGTAGAGCAGCTGACCCTGAAGGCCGAGGGTGTCGTTCCCCCCCTCTCCCACATTCCCACATGTATTCTAGACGGCTGTGCTCATTCTTGCGGGGCTCAGTGGTGCGGTGGCTACATGGTGGAACGTGGAGTCAGAAGACCCGAGTTTGAATGTTTCCTAGCTGCGTGACCTTGGGGAAGTCATTCTCTCTCTGCCTCAGTTTCTTCGTGTGTAAAATGGGTGTACTGGGATCACCCACTGCCCAGAGTGGTGGTGGATGTCCAATGAGGAGCTGCGCGCACGGCCTTGTGCCCCGGGATGGTGCTGCTGGTGAGTGCCCTGGACACAGCCCCAGTCCCTCAGCGCATCTTTGCTTCCACACCAGGCCGAGCTCTGCCTGCCGAGATGCCCCTCCGTGTTCGGCTTGTTTTGCAAAACTTGTCTGAGAGGTGTTGGGCAGGGAGCTGCGATCGCTTCTCCTTTCCACTCAGTAAGAGATGGCTTTGATGTTGCTAATTGGAATTCTAAAAATACAGCCCCAGATAAATCCGGTCTCAACGTGTGAGCTGCATGTGGGTGGGAGAGAACACAACTTGGCTGATGAAGGCTGACTCATCCTCGCTCAGGCTCTGAGCAGCCCTGGTGGAGGCCGTGGTGGGAGCTCACAGCTCCGGCCCCAGGCAGCGCCGAGGCGCTTCCAAGCAGCGCTGGGCCGCCGGCTGCCTTTCCCTCCGACGAAAGAAGAGAGGCCCAGCCCAAGAAAATCAAAGCTTACTAAGCGCCTCCTATAGCCGGGCATGGTACTCAGCGAGCCCCCGCCCTCGAGGAGCTTACAGTCTGAAAGGGGAGAACCCCCAAAGGAGGCAGGAACGGCGGGGAGGGGCGGAGACACCCGCGGGGACGGCCTTGGGGCATCGTGTTCCAGCTGGTTCCGAGGAGGGATCTGAGAGCCGGCCACTGCCCCCCTCAAAGAAAGGCATCGGGAGGGGTTCTATGCGCCATCCTCCAGAGGAGGGCGTCCCTCCGAGGGAGAAAGATGCTTCTGGTGGCCCGGGGAAGCAAAGGCAGGATTGGGAGGGGCGGGCATTTCCCGGCTCCAGGCTAGCGTCCTGACCCTCACTCAGGGGTGGCCAGTGAGCCAGATTCCCGTGGAGCCTTCCGGTGCAATCCACGACTTTGGCCAGAGCTGCTGGGTGATGGAGAGACCTTGGAGACGGCGGCACTGAGGGCACCTGAGTGGGGTGCAAACAGGTCCCTCCCAGATTAGTGCAGGAGAGAGGCCTGCCTCGCAGTCAGAAGGCCTGGCCTCACTGCCCGCTGCAGAACACTGCTAACGGAAACAATCTGAGCCTCCGTTTTCACATCTGTGAAATGGGATCGCTGACACTTGCACTGACCAACTTTGAGTCTGAGAGGAAAAGCACTTTTGTGAAGAAAAACGTAAAGGCTGCAGGGCTGTGTTATTATCGTTGGTTATTGTGGTTCAGTCGTGTCTGACTCAGCGTAACCTTGTGGACATTGTCCGTGGAGTTTTCTTGGCAAAGATCTTGGAGCAATTTGCCATTTCCTTCTCTGGTGTGTCCTTATTTGACAGCTGACTAAACTGAGGCAAATAGGGTTAAATGACTTGCCCAGGGTCACACAGCTAGTAGTGATCGAGGCTGGATTTGAACTCATATTTTCCTGACTGCAGGTCTGGCGCTCTATGCACTATGGAGCCACCTAGTGGCCCATGTTAGTAGTAGTAATAGTAGTAGTACATACGTATGAGGGATTCATCGTCACCCCCAGCTGTGATAAGAGGACCGTAGGAGCTGCTTAGCGCTCCGGGAGGTGGACCAGGGAATCCTTGAGCCAGCGCTTGGGGCCAGAAGACATTTCTCCAAAGGACGCACCAACATTGACATTATTAAACCCTGTTTAGGCAAATCAGAAACCGAAACCTAAACTTTGCATTTTTGCTGCAGAATTTCGTGTTTTGTTTCATGATGGCTGTAAAATGTTGACCATGTATGGGTCAGAGAGAATTGTAGGTGAGGGGAAACTAACTACTCTTTGGACCTCTCTTTAAGTAGAAATAATTGTCTATGTTTGGCCACTAGGGGGGCGCCATAGTGCCTAGAGCGCAAGGCCTGGGGTCTGGAAGACTCCTCTTCCTCAGTGCAAATGTGGCCCCAGACACTTCCTCCGCTGTATGACCCTGGGCGAGTCACTTCGCCCCATTTGCCTCAGTTTCCTCATCTGTGAAATGAGCTGGAGAAGGAAATGACAAACCACTCTGGTATCTCTGCCAAGAAAGCCCCAAATGGGGTCACAAAGAGTCGGACATGACTAATTGACTAAAAAAACCTGACCATATTCAATATAACTTGTCTCTGACAGTGTGTGTGCTGCCCTCTCTCTAAGGGCAGAGATGGAGATGAAGACAGACAGACAGACTAATGGGAAAAGGACCTGTGCTTAGCCACAAACCATCGTTTCTCTTTTTGGTTTCCCAGGAATGGCTGTCCCCTGCTATTCAGACCTAGTCTACCTCCCTTGTTTTACAGAAAAGGAAACTGATGCCTAGGGAGACGAAGGGACCCACCCAAGGTCATACAGATAGTAAGTGGCAAAGCCAGGATTTGACCCCGGGCCTGCTGTCTCTAGGGCCAGGCTTGGTGCTCTTCTGTTTGTGAGTGCCGTGGTGGGTTCTGGCCGGCCCGAGAAGCAATCCCTCAAATCCCATGGATTCGTGTTCTGGGCAGGGGGAGCAGAGGGGGTGAGGGCTTTGTTTTTCAGTATAGCAGTGGGATTAAGGGAAAGGCTCAGTTTTATCACCCAGCCCAAGCCCCCCAGGGCTGCAGCCCCCTCGGCCCCCTCCA